CCTCGCAAGCACGAATCCGGTGCCCAGAGAGAGACGGACTGCCTTGGACAGTAAGTTACAACCGCATCAGCGGAAGCATTAGGTACATAAATGATGATTAACGGCAACTCGGGAGGGCGTCTGGAGTTGACCTTTCCTTCTTTCGATCGAAATTTTTTTTATCTCTCCATCAATGGCAAAGAAACCCGTCAAGTATTCGCTGGTATGTTTCTTATTTCACTGTATCTGTGGTCGTTATGCATTAGCGTGAATGGCTTCTCTCTGTATTGATAAATAGGTGGACGCCTTCACCGAGTCCCCTTTCAAGGGGAACCCCGCAGCAGTCTGTCTTTTAGATGAAGAGAGGGACGAGAAGTGGCTGCAAGCGGTAGCCCGTGAGTTCAATATCTCCGAGACCTGCTACTTGACTCGAATTGCTGAGTCAGAGAGCCCCGCTAGCTTGGTCAGTGCAAGCTCTAATCCTCGTTTCCGTCTTAGATGGTTCACTACCGTCTGCGAGGTAAATTTTATAGAGCTTCTTAATTACTAAATAGATCGTTTTAAAATAGCTCCTGTTATTGTATATGCGGATTTGATATGGGAATCGTCTCACGCAGTTAACGATCCCTCTGTCGCATAGGAGTGATCTAAGTTTATTGGTGTGCCAATTTTGCAATAGCTTTGAAGACTGAATTGGTTCATGATAATTATGGCTTTCGTTTCAACAAGTATTGTTTGGCATTCCTTGGGCCACATGATTCATTTAGTATGCCATTCAAGTCTGTTTCTGGATTTTGTCTAAGCCAGAACTGCTAAAAAATTAAGCATGATTTGCGCCATATCTGTCATTCATAAAGTGCTTGATGCGAAGTTTATCGTTAGCAAAATCGGCGCACTTTTGTAGGTTGAACTTTGTGGCCATGCTACATTAGCTGCTGCACACACACTCTTCTCTTCTGGTTTAGTGGCTTCCAATATCGTGGAATTTGTGACGTTATCTGGAGTGTTGACTGCTAAAAAAATACCAGATATTAGCATCGCTTGTGCCTCTGACTTGGAAAATGGCGAAAATCAAGACGGATATTACATTGAATTGGATTTTCCTACTGACCCTCCCACAGAATTTCACTCCACTGAGACTTCAGAAATTTCGGCAGCCTTAGAGGGTGCTTCTATAGTTGAAATAAGAGGACATCCGTTGGAAATTACCTATTGGTAATTCCTGAATTTGTTCTCTTCCTTTCTTTGATCGCATGGTAATCAAGTTCTATCTTTTCCCGTATCAGACATGTTTGAGTTTAGGCTTCTCATGCCTTGCAGGTGGAAGTCCCGTCTGGGAAATCTGTCATAGAATTTAAGCCACGATTTGATGCTATATTAAAATGTCCTGGAAGAGGGATAATTCTCGCTGCCGTTGCTCCTCCGGACTCAGGATTCGACTTCTACAGCAGATTCTTCTGCCCAAAGGACGGAATCAATGAGGTAAATAGCTGAGATATAGCTATGTATAATAGTTTTAGTCATGGTTTATTTTAAGCTCAAATAATGACGGATTATTTCCTAAATTGTTCCCCCAACTCCCCCCCCCGGGGCCAAAAAAAATTGCTGCTCTGCCGTTTGTCATCTAGCTGGCGCCTTGTCTGATTTTGGCTTGTGGTTAGCATTAAACGTGTTTAATTCAAATTTTTGGGTCACACTATGCAATAAAATTTTTACCTGAGACTGGTGAGATAAGTTCCCCCCCCCCCTCTATTGTTATGACATGTTATTGGTTAATCTACCAGAAAGGAAGAGCTACTATAGAAAGCAAAACCTAACATCCATTAGATTCCTGGATAATAGAACAAAAGTAATGAGATAATGGCGTGTCACTTGCATTTCCTTTCAGGATCCTGCTTGCGGGAGTGCACATTGTGCTTTAGCACCTTATTGGAGCAAGAAACTGGGGAAGTTGGATTTCAATGCTTATCAGGTACTCTTTATTCGTTACGTTAGGGTTATCTATGTGATTATTGTGTTGACTCTTTATATTATATGGGAGCAGGCATCATCAAGAGGTGGAGTTCTCAACATCCATCTTGATGAGCAGAACCAAAGGGTGCTGTTGCGAGGGAAAGCTGTTACAGTAATGGAAGGATGTATTCTAGTTTAGTCCTGTTTTTGGTGTGCAAATAGAGTATAATTTAACATTAATAAATGTGTCAGATAACACGACTCACTGCAACTGAATTTGAGGTTCTAAACTCTTGTGATGCTATTCCATGTTGTGTAGTACGGTGGACCTTCTTAGGAGAGCGGAGTGGATGAAGATGAAACCACTCTGATTCTGGTGCGTGTCCTTCTCGTCCTCGTAATGCCCGACTTACTTATACTCTCATAGTAAAACTTGCCTATAAACCTGTCATGGCTACTTCTAATCCCGCCACCGGGAAAGCGGATGATTTTTGTCAATGTAAAGGGTCTGGGAAGTAATTCAAATTGGATAAGCGATAGGAAGACGAAATGTCGTGCATTCTGAGACAATATTCTACCTGCCTCATCCTTCGTCTCACTGATCTTTCATTTATTTTAACCCATGCGAATATGCGATTAGTCGGAATCACTTGGGAATCAAATTTTCATCTAACGTGGGAGAATTTGTTTTCCCACGGAGGTAGCATAAGAGTTGCCGAATGGACGTTGAGTCCTCATGATTGTGAAGAAATTCTGTTAGTTGTACTTGTACGGTTGCACCCTTATCCTATAAAAAGTTCCGTGCTTTTTTCCGAATTTCAAAAATTAAAAAAATAGTAATTAGATATACTACCTCTTGTTCTTAATATATGATTTCATTTGATTTTTATTTTGATCCTAAATATAAGATTCCAATTCACTGTCTCTAGTATTTGTGTATTTTTTTTCAAGATAATCCTTTTAATAATAATAATTCTAACTAACACACTTGATTAGTAAGGATATTTTAAGAAAGACAATACATATTTATTACAAATAACTAATTTAACTTGTTTTTTTAATCTACTCAAATTAATTAATTAGCTCTTATAATTAGAATCGGAGGTAGTAAGTTCTAGCAAGTTATGAGCCGAAAAAGTCAGCTCGTGTTTTAAATGGGAGCATTTTTAAATATAACGAAAGAACGATGAAAATTAAAAACTTAAAAAGGGTAAGCTTCATCCAAACTCATGGATGTCAACACGGGATTGCCCATTTCGCTTAGATGCCCTTTCTTTATTAACAAAGTAGATTTGTCCTGCTGTCTCTAGAGAAGTAGAAACGTCAGGAACTTTAATTCCGGCGCCTGGAACATCTCAAAGCGACGTCGCTTTGTGCAGTGCGTTGAGCCCTTTTGGGTCAAAAGTAAAGTGGTATGGACTCTGAGGCTACACACGGTCGGCATATATAAGATGGAATGCCGGTGACAATTTAGCTGTCGGGTTTGAAAATAAGTATTTAGTATGAATAATTTTTTATTATATAAAATTAAGTAATTTCATATAGGTGTGATCGGAAAATACCACCTCTTTCTATGATATTCTTCAATCGTGATATTCCCCAATTACATATATATGAACTTGTCCAATTCTAAATAACAATAAATCATCTATATTAAATATTCTTTTAACATATTTTTAATCTCATTCTCAATTCCCTCATTATATTTTCAATATTTTGTACCATCTTAATGGTTTGAACAGTGCTCGAACCAAATCAATCAGGCACATGAAGAACGACCAATAAAGGATTTTTTTTAAATGCCAAAATTCTGGTTTAAAAAAAAAAAAGACTGATGAAGGATTAAGCACATGTATCGCCAGAAAAAAAAAAAAAGATTAAGCACATCACCATCTCTGGTGTTTACAAGGCTACTATGCCCGAATTGATAGATAATGCGTGAGCCCCAGCACGATCCAACTAGGAACAAATCAGCATTAAGTGCCCGATTCAAGAGTCGTGGATGATAATTTAATTTTCAACGGCTATAAACATCATTTATGTAACATTTTAAGCATTTCTTGCGGCATACTGAGTGAGTATAGCAGAAACATATCAAGAATTTTTTTGTGGGCAAAAGAAAAAGAAAAAATGACATAAAAAAAGTTTAGAAATTATAATATTTCAATTCAACCATCTAAGAGGCTAAAATTTTAAGGGAGGAAGTGACGTTTGATCTGGTATTTTACAAATATAATTAAATGAAAAAAAACCCTTATATTAAAAAGTTTATTAACAAGTTATAAGCTGACAATCACAAGTGTTAAACAGCAAATGAGAAGAAATATACTAGTAATGACAAGTTATTTATTAATAAGTTATTAAATGACAATGACAAATTATTTAATAAGTTGTGAATTGACAATTACAAGTGTTGAACACCTAATGACAAAAAATATACTGATAAATGACAAATTTGTTAGCTTTTTTTCTTCAAAAAATCTAATACAAGGGTATTTTAATTATTTGGCTGTATTTACAAAAAACCAAATTCGGTATCACTTTCTCCTATGAGATTTTAACTTCTTAGGTTTCTGAACTAAGATATTATAATTTTTAATTTTTTTTATATCATTTTTCCTTGAAAGTTGGAACAGCCTTTTTCCTGAGATTTTACTTATTTATTTATTTAGTGAGGACAAAGAGGGCTAGGCCCATCTCTGTTGTTTTGTGTTCAGTAGCTACCATGCCCAGATCCTGACGAAGGCCAAGACGCCAGACCATGCCCAACCAGGACGGACTGCCTTGTACAGTAAGTCATAACCGCATCAGTAGCGTTAGGTACTAAATAATATCGCCAAGCCGATGATTAACGACAACTCGGGAGGGTGTCTGGAGTTGACATTTCCTTCTTTCGGTAGAAATTTTTTTTATCTCTCCATCAATGGCAAAGAAACCCGTCAAGTATTCGCTGGTATGTTTCTTATTTCACTGTATCTGTGGTCGTTATGCATTAGCGTGAATGGCTTCTCTCTGTATTGATAAATAGGTGGACGCCTTCACCGGGTCCCCTTTCAAGGGGAACCCCGCAGCAGTCTGTCTTTTAGATGAAGAGAGGGACGAGAAGTGGCTGCAAGCGGTAGCCCGTGAGTTCAATATCTCCGAGACCTGCTACTTGACTCGAATTGCTGAGTCAGAGAGCCCCGCCAGCTTGGTCATAAAGTGCTTGATGCGAAGTTTATCGTTAGCAAAATCGGCGCACTTTTGTAGGTTGAACTTTGTGGCCATGCTACATTAGCTGCTGCACACACACTCTTCTCTTCTGGTTTAGTGGCTTCCAATATCGTGGAATTTGTGACGTTATCTGGAGTGTTGACTGCTAAAAAAATACCAGATATTAGCATCGCTTGTGCCTCTGACTTGGAAAATGGCGAAAATCAAGACGGATATTACATTGAATTGGATTTTCCTACTGACCCTCCCACAGAATTTCACTCCACTGAGACTTCAGAAATTTCGGCAGCCTTAGAGGGTGCTTCTATAGTTGAAATAAAGAGGACATCCGTTGGAAATTACCTATTGGTAATTCCTGAATTTGTTCTCTTCCTTTCTTTGATCGCATGGTAATCAAGTTCTATCTTTTCCCGTATCAGACATGTTTGAGTTTAGGCTTCTCATGCCTTGCAGGTGGAAGTCCCGTCTGGGAAATCTGTCATAGAATTTAAGCCCGATTTGATGCTATATTAAAATGTCCTGGACGAGGGATAATTCTCGCTGCCGTTGCTCCTCCGGACTCAGGGTTTGACCTCTACAGCAGATTCTTCTGCCCAAAGAGCGGAATCAATGAGGTAAATAGCTGAGATATAGCTATGTATAATAGTTTAAGTCATGGTTTATTTTAAGCTCAAATAATGACGCATTATTTCCTAAATTGTTTCCCCCATTCCCCCCCCCCGGGCCAAAAAAAAGAAAAAAAAATTTCTGCTCTGCTGTTTGTCATCTAGCTGGCGCCTTGTCTGATTTTTTCTTGTGGTTAGCATTAAACATGTTTAATTCAAAATTTTGGGTCACACTATGCACTAAAATTTTTACCTGAGACTAGTGAGATCAGTTTTTTTCCCTTCCCCTCTATTGTTATGACATGTTATTGGTTAATCTACCAGAAAGGAAGAGATACTATAGAAAGCAAAACCTAACATCCATTAGATTCCTAGATAATAAAACAAAAGTAATGAGATACTGGCGTGTCACTTGCATTTCCTTTCAGGATCCTGTTGGCGGGAGTGCACATTGTGCTTTAGCACCTTATTGGAGCAAGAAACTGGGGAAGTTGGATTTCAATGCTTATCAGGTACTCTTTTGTCGTTATGATGGAGTTATCTATGTGATTGTTGTGTTGACTCTTTATATTATATGGGAGCAGGCATCATCAAGAGGTGGAGTTCTCAACGTCCATCTTGATGAGCAGAACCAAAGGGTGCTGTTGCGAGGGAAAGCTGTTACAGTGATGGAAGGATGTATTCTAGTTTAGTCCTGTTTTTGGTTTGCAAATAGAGTGTAATTTAACATTAATAAATGTTTTAGATAACACGACCCACTGCAACTGAATTCAAGGTTTTAAACTCTTGCGATGCTATTCAATGTTGTGTAATATGTCTGCCTCCCTCATCCTTCGTCTCACTGATCTTTTCATTTATTTTTAACCCATGCGATTAGTCGGAATCACTTGGAAATCAAATTTTCATCTGACGTGGGAGAATTTATTTTCCCACGGAGGTAGCATAAGAGTTGCCGAATGTAGGTTGGGTCTTCATGATTGTCAGGAAATTCTGTTACTTGTACTTGTGCGGTTGCACCCTTATCCTATAAAAAGTGCCGTGCTTTTTTCCGAATTTTACAAATTAAAATAATAATAATTAGATGTAAGTTCTAGTGGGTTATGTGCCAATAGGAAAAAGTCAGCCCGTGTTTTAAATGGGAGCATGGATCCTTTGACGTTGGAGGGCTTATTTATTTCTTGAAGCTGGTGTTTTTAAGGGACAAAAAGATAAAATTTTTATGTTATGCAAAATGAAAATGCCTCTTCTTTATTAATAAAATAACTAAAGAACGATGAAAATTAAAAAATTAAAAAGGGTACGCTTCATCCAAACTCATGGATGTCAACACGAGATTACCCATTTCGCTTAGATGCCCTTTCTTTATTAACAAAGTAGCTTTGTCCTGCTGTCTCCAGAGAAGTAGAAAGGCGTCAGGAACTTCAATTCCGGGGCCTGGAACATCTCAAAGCGACGCGTTGATCCTTTTTGGGTCAAAAGCAATGTGCTATAGACTCTGAGGTCGGCGTAAATAAGATGGAATGCCGGTGATAATCTAGCTGTCATTTTCAAACCCTGGGGTTGAGCCTCAACGTTTTGAATCGATATTCTTCCTCTTCTACTTGCGTGCACGAGTTTTATAATAATAAACCCTTTCTTAATCTGAGGATCAAGAGAAATCTGGGCAGTCTAGCTTCATCTGCTCATCAACAACGTTTCGTGCTAATACTCTGGCTTGGTCCCACTAAATCAATCAATCATTAGTTTAAAATGTACATTAAATTCATTCCTCTGACCATCACATTTTGTATTTTGTTTTAATATGCATAACAAGGGGATAAGATATATGCAAATCTTCGTTCGCGGGGTGGGGTGGCCATGGCTGGCTAACTTAATTCTAGATGAAAGCCACATCAAGCAATCTTGGATGATAGTAAATATTTGCCATTCCTGCAAACCTCGCCACAACTTGTACTAAATAACGATTTATGCCGCTTCCTTTGAAATAGTGCCAAACATGATCTGCCGATTAACAAAAACCAAAGCTTATTATATCAAGTTGATTTTTGCCACATATCCACACACACACACACACATATCTGTTAACACCTTCCAGATGCTTTAAATTTTCACTTAGCACTTCTAAAAATAGAATCGTTTAATTATAATTTTTGGTGGATCATTTAATTATAATTTAATTTTTCTATTGCCTGTTCTTCTACGGAATTGCAAATGTCTTGCACGCATGGAGCAAGTTAACGGAAAAATATTAATAAATTTAAATGAGCATGGATTGTGCAAAGACAACAATGGTTTGCGATTGCATTGCATGCCAACTACTGAAATCAAATATAATCGTGGGACCCACTTTCTGGATGTTACTTGTCAGATGAGCTCAGCCTGCTTTGTCTGACTGAAAAATAAAAATGATAAAAATTGACTCAATGCTCGTTGTTATCTGTGCAGCACCACATCTCTTTGCGATGACATTCAAAAGAGGCAGCCCTCGCGGAATTTACTACAACTACATTATTATTTGTTATTATAAATAGAGGATCCAGCCACGCCATTTCTCAGATGAACTAGCTTGCTTCCTCCTTCCTCCTTCCTCCGTCCCACATGGCTTCCAGCTTTCAATACCTCGTCCTTTTTCTGCTCTTTATTGCTCCTTCTTCATGTTTTGCTCAATCCTCTTTCAGGCCCAAGGCCCTTGTAATTCCCGTCACTAAAGATGCCTCCACTCTCCAGTACGTTACTCAAATTCACCAGAGAACCCCACTCGTCCCCGTGAACCTCGTCCTTGATCTCGGCGGCCAATTCCTCTGGGTCGATTGCGACCAGAACTACACCTCCTCCACCTACCGCCCTGCACGCTGCAACTCCGCCCAGTGCTCCCTCGCCGACGCCTCCGGATGCGGCGAATGCTTTTCGCCTCCCAGGCCAGGCTGTAATAACAACACCTGCGGCGTAATGCCGGACAACACCGTTACCCGCACCGCCACCGGCGGCGAGGTCGCCCAAGACGTCGTGTCCCTCCAGTCCACGAACGGATTCAACCCTGGTCGAAATGTCACCGTTTCCCGCTTCATATTCTCATGTGCACCCACTTTCTTATTGAACGGCCTCGCCAGAGGAGTATTGGGCATGGCCGGTCTTGGTAGAACCAAAATCGCTTTTCCTTCTCAATTCGCCTCCGCTTTTAGCTTTCACAGGAAATTCGCCATTTGCCTCGCGTCCAGTTCGAAAGGTGTTGTTTTCTTTGGAGACGGCCCCTACGTTTTTCTTCCGAACGTGAACGCCGCTCAATCGCTCACTTACACACCACTCATCGTCAACCCAGTAAGCACAGCTTCCGCTTTCACACAGGGACAGCCCTCGTCTGAGTACTTCATCGGAGTCAAATCCATCAATATCGACCAAAAAGTTGTGCCCAACATCAACAGCACTTTGCTGTCCATCAACAAGGAAGGCTTTGGCGGGACTAAGATAAGTACGGTGAACCCATACACAGTTTTGGAGGCCTCGACCTTCAAGGCGGTGACAGAGGCATTTATCAATGCTTCGGCTGCTAGGAACATCACCAGGGTAGGTGGTGTGGCTCCCTTCGAAGTGTGCTTCGGTAGAGACAACGTGGGAAGCACGCGGCTGGGTGCGGCGGTGCCGACCATCGAGCTTGTGCTGAAGAATAACGTGAGTTGGTTCATTTTTGGAGCGAACTCGATGGTGCAGGTGAGCAACGATGTGCTGTGTCTTGGAGTAGTGAATGGAGGTGACAACCCGAGGACTTCAATTGTGATAGGAGGGTATCAGTTGGAGAACAATCTTCTGCAGTTTGATTTGGCTTCTTCTAGATTGGGATTCAGCTCTCTGCTCTTTGGAAGGATGACCACGTGTGCAAACTTCAACTTCACCTCCGCCCCATGAACCGCCCTTCTCCGCCACCATCAGAATTCGGACTTTGAATAACGCGCATACGGATATATCTTCCTCTTTCTTGACATCACAATAAATAGACTTACTGTCAATAGTTGTCTACTCTCCGTACCCCACGGCTTAAATGGGAAGGAGTAATAAGAATGAATTTTCGGATAGTTAAATTATTGATACTATCTTAAAAGAATAAACTTCTTTAATTCACAATGTATTCGACCTCTTATCTTATTTGTTAAAAAATTACAAAAAGGTAAAATTAAAAGAAAATAATTAACTAGCCATTTTTTCATGTAAGGTAAAAATTCATAATCGATTATTTTCTAAAAAGTGATATATACAGGATCAGAGTTGGTAAATAAACCTTACTTGTGCGATTCTGGTACATAATCAGGGGTGTTCAACGCCGGTCCGTCCCGGTCAGTCCGTTCCGATCCCGGTCTTATTGGGACGGGACAGACCCGTCCCAAAATTTTTCGAGACAGGAGAAAAAAGGGACCGGGACGGGACAGGACATGGGACGGGGGTCCTCCCGTCCCGGTCCCGGTCCCTTTTTTTTTTAATTTTTAAAATTTTTTATCCTATTTATATAATATCATTTTTTTTCATTTTTTTAAGATTTGAGACTATTGTATGGAACTATGGATATATTTATTTAGAATTTTTATATTTGTTAATGATTTGAGATTATTGATGATTAGAATTTTTAGCAAATTTTTATTGTGTTAAAAGCTTTTGTTTAGAGTTTTTAATGACTATTATATATAATATTTTGGGTTTTTGTTTAAGAGTGCCCAAACAAATAAAATAGAAAATAAAAAGATGTTTTTATACGGTTTAAGCCCAAAAAAATATAATTAAAAAATCAGATTTTATTAAAAAATTAAAAAATTAAAAAAAAAAACTTCGGGACATCCTGGTCCCGTCCCGTCCTGACCGGGACCGGGACAACCCCGAGACGGGCCGAGACATGGGACAGCTTTTCTGTCCTGTTATTGTTCATTGGGACTGAACCGGGACGGGTCTTTTCCGGTCCCAATCCGTCTTGTAAGCAGCCCTATGCGTAACTACGAATTTTTTTTTTTGTGATGATCTTTCCAAGTCACTGCTTACCGTCTTCATTATTTGTCAGTGCATAGTTTTTAAGGTTACTATGCTTGTATGTATCATCAATATAACATTTCATAAAAGAGGCATATCAAGAATTTAGAAACAAAAAAATAAGAATTATTAAAATCAAAAGAAATTTTGTACGGTTAAATATAGCAGGAAATCTTGAAATTTTTGAGATGTAGTTCTAATCAAGCAAAGTTCTGAGTAGACCTGGGAAAGCGGGCTGGCGGTGCGGATACGGGCCAGCTCGCCGCGGTGCGGGCCAAATACGGTGCGGGCTGAAGTAGCCCGCACCTTGGCGGGCTGGCATTTTGCCAGCCCGAGCCCGCCTAAATTTTTTTTTTAAATTTATTATATTAGTATGAGTTAAGCTTAATTTAAAATGTTGAAATTAGGCTCTGAGTTTTAAACTTGAGTAATGGATCATAATAAAAAAAAAGAGAATTAATTTATAATATTAGAAGAAATTTAAGAAAAACTAACATATATATTTTTTATAAATAATTAATTTAACTAGTTTTCTTATCCAAATTAATTAAGTAAATCTTTTATGTGTGTGTATGTATGACTATATGAAAATCACATATTTATCTAATCTTATGAAGCCGTGCATACTAACGACAAATAGATATAAAAATAAAAGATGGATAGTGCTCTTCATATAACCATACATATATATGAAGTGCTTAATTAATTATATATATAATGATATGGATAAGGTAATGTCCATATGAAATTTAATGGTCAAAATCATCTAACTATATTATATAATGTATTAAAAATCAGAAAAAGTAAAAAAAAAAAAAAAAAAAAGCGGGCTGGCGGGTTAGCCCGCGGCGGAGCGAGCCAAAAGCGGTGCGGGCTAGAGTAGCCCGCACCGTGGCGGACTGAGAAAACATCAACCCAAGCCCGCCTTTTTTGGCGGGCTGGCGGGCTGGGCCCGCGGGCCCAGCCCGTATTACCGGCTCTAGTTCTGAGCAATGGTGAAAGTTTCTTTTTCTGTTTTTGTGAGTACAAAGAGCCCACGACTCCCCCCCGGGCCCCCAAAAAACAAAAGAAAAGAAGCTGCAAAGCCCAGATCCCAAGGCAGCCCAAAGCCACCAAACCATCTTTCCTCGCAAGCGCGAACAGGCACTGCATAAAATGACCAGGTGGATGAACAACAACTGGGGTGGGTGTCTGGGGGTTGACCTTTCCTTCTGTCGATCGAAAAATCTTCTCTCTCTCCGTCAATGGCAAAGAAACCCGTCAAATATTGGCTGGTATGTTTCTTATTTCACTGTGTCTATGTGTTTGTTGTGCATTATCGTGAACAGCTTCTCTCTGTATTGATAAATAGGTGGACGCCTTCACCGAGTCGCCTTTCAAGGGCAATCCCGCAGCAGTGTGTCTTTTAGATGAAGAGAGGGACGAGAAGTGGTTGCAAGCGGTAGCCTGTGAGTTCAATATCTCCGAGACCTGCTACTTGACTCGAATTGCTGAGTCAGAGAGCCCCGCCAACTCGACTAATGCAAGCTCTAATCCTCGTTTCCATCTTAGATGGTTCACTCCCGTCTTTGAGGTAAGATTTCGAGAGCAACTTAATTACCGAATATATCACAGTAAAATAGCTCTTCTGTGATTGTATATGCGGATTTGATATGGGAATGGTCTCACGCAGTTAATGCTTCCTCTATTGCGTAGTAGTGATCTGAGTTTATTCATGTCTAAATTGAGGAATGACTTTGAAGGCTGAATATATTCGTGATAATCGATGGCTTTCGTTTCAACATGTATTATTCGGCATTCTTTAAGCTACACGATTCATTTAGTATGCCACTCAAGTTTGTTTCTTGATCTTTTTGGTTTAGGCCGAAACTGTTCACAAATTAAGCATGATTTGTGGCATATCTCTCAGTCCTAAAGTGCTTGATGGCGAGTTTAGCGTTAACAATTTCGCAGGTTAAACTTTGTGGCCATGCTACATTAGCTGCTGCACACACACTCTTTTCTTCAGGGTTAGTGGCTTCCAATATCGTGGAATTTGTGACGTTATCTGGAGTGTTAACTGCTAAAAAAATACCAGATATCAGCATCGCTTGTGCCTCTGACTTGGAAAATGGTGAAAACCAAGACAGATATTACATTGAATTGGATTTTCCTGTTGACCCTCCCACGGAATTTCATTCTGTTGATGCTTCATTAATTTCGGCAGTGTTAGAGGGTGCTCCCATTGTTGAAATAAAGAGGACAACCATCGGAGACGACCTATTGGTTATTCCTAAATTTGTTCTCTTCCTTTCTTTGATTGCATATTAATCATGCTTCTATCTTTTCCCTTATCAAACATATTTGAGTGCCTTGTAGGTGGAAGTCACATCTGGGAAATCTGTCATAGAATTGAAGCCGCAATTTGATGCTATAGTAAAATGTCCTGGAAGAGGGATAATTGTCACTGCCGTTGCTCCTTCGGACTCAGGATTTGACTTCTACAGCAGATTCTTCTGCCCAAAAGCCGGAATCAATGAGGTAAATGGCTGAGATATGACTATGAATAATCGATTTAGTCATGGTTTATTTTAAGCTCAAATAATGATGCATTTTTTCTAATGCTTTATTTCCTAAATTGTGTCCCGCCCCACCCCTCTCCGTTTAATTTTTTATTTGCCGCCTCATAGATGCTGCTCTGCTCTTTGTCACACAGCTGGCGCCTCGTCTGATTTTGGCCTGAACATGTTTAATTCAAAATTTGAGTAAACTATGCAATAAAATTTGTACCTGAGACTAGTGATACAAGGTTTCTTGTTGGTATCTACATCACAACATGTTGTTGGTTAACCTACCAGAAAGGAAAAATACTATAGAAATCAAAACCTTAACGTCCATTAAATTCCTAGGCGATAAAACAAAAGTAACGAGATAATGGCGTGTCACTTGCATTTGCTTTCAGGATCCTGTTTGTGGGAGTGCACATTGTGCTCTAGCATCTTATTGGAGCAAGAAACTGGGGAAGCTGGATTTCAATGCTTATCAGGTACTCTTCATTCGTTACGTTAGGGCTATCTATGTGATTGTTGTGTTGACTCCTTATATTATATGGGAGCAGGCATCATCAAGAGGTGGAGTTCTCAACATTCATGTTGATGAGCAGAGCCAAAGGGTGCTGTTGCGAGGGAAAGCTATTAAAGTGATGGAAGGATGCATTACAGTTTAGTCCTGTTTTTATGCTGTTTCTTTTTTCTCAATAAAAAAAGATGTCGTTTTTAGTTTTACCATTGATGAATTGATGTGACCACTTGTGTTTTATTTTACCAATATACTCCCTCTAGCTAACTAACTCACTGTTAGTTAAATTATTGATATAAACAAATAAATTTGTCTTCATATAAAAAAAAATTAAATTATTGATAGTATCATCTTAAAAAAAAATGAAAATTTAAATTCACTTTTATTAAGTGTATCATTTTTATTTATCTATCTCATATTCAATCAAGTGTTATTCATAAGGGATTGCAAAATGGAAAATTTAAAATAAGAAAAAATCCTAAAGAAAATATCTCTAAAATTTCAAATTTTCAAATTAAGAATGACAAATGCATTGTTATTTATTATTAAAGTATAATAAATAAGACTGATTTAAACTTTTAAAATTTAAAGATATTTTTTTAGAAGAAGAAAAAGGTATAATTAACGGTCAAATTTTTTTATGTAATATAGAAGTGCCCATCAATTTTCTACCATAGGCCACTGCCAAATTTAATACTACCTCCAATTTTTTATAAAAATCTTGTTTGATTTTTATTTTAGTCATAAATATAAAATTTTGATTCATTTTTCTATTATATTTATGTATTTTTTTTCTAATTTAGTTCTTCTAACAATAATAGTTTTAATTAATATACTTAATTAGCAAAAGTATTTTAAGAAAGACAATATCTATTTATTACAAACAACTAACTTTACTTCTTTATTTGATCTTTTTAGATTAGTTAACTAACTCTTATAATTAGAATCGGAGGTAATATTACATTAATTTAGTGGCCAACGGAACAACTTCGATAATTTTATCTCAAATTCCAAAGTTTATTGACATTCGCCCATCCTCCGAAGAGTGTTGATGAAGTGCTCCGTCAATGGTTTCGCGACTTTTATCTCTGCAGTGATGGGTTGTAAATATTATTTTCATTTAGGAGGTGTTTGAAGAAGAAAAACAAACCGTATTTTTAAAAATAATCTTACAATATACAAAATAAATATATGTAAAAGAGTATATTTCAATTTATAAAAAATTATCTCAATTTACGAAGTAGTACTTTTAAAATGATATCCAAACACCTTCTTCATGGATTTACCACTTATTATTCTCCTTCAGCGTCATTGCGTGAATGAAATTTTCAAGATGCATTTATGATACTACCTCCCGTTTTTAATATAAGATTTTGTTTGACTTTTATTTTGATCCTAAATATAAGATCCTAATTCACTTTGTCTCTCATATTTATGTATTTCTTTTAAAGTAGTCCTTTTAACAATAGTAGTTCTAGCCAATATAGTTGATTATCAAAAACATTTTAGGAAAGACAACACTTATTTATTACAAATAACTAATTTAACTTATTTTTTTAATCTTATCAAATTAGTCAACTAACTCTTATAATTAAGACCAGAAATAATACTATTAAAAATGTTATTTTAATATTTTCATTTTTTTATATTTGTGTCCATTAATTCGAGAACATTAAGAACGTGCCGTGCAAAAAACAACGATACGCTGTCGTTTACTCGATCCCGCTTTGACCCCGCGTCGGCGATCTGCAATCACAAGACCTCTCATCTCCCGCTGCGGTGTGCAGAAGCTCATCATCTTCGTCACAGCCACCATGAAGCTCGTCAGGTCCCACCCTCTCTTAAGTCTTTTTATACGTCTTTAATGAGTGTGATGTTTCTTTTCCATTTTTCTTATTAGAAGCTGAACGCTTTATTTGAAAATACGAGCAAGTTTTTGATGAAATTAAACAACGAAACGGTATCAATCGAGCTCAAGAACGGCACTGCTGTTCATGGAACCATCACAGGTTTCTTCTATTAACTCTTTCTCCTTCATCACTTTCTTTTTCCCGGAATTTGATGGCATTGTCATTTTACTGGGGCTCCTGCTAAACCCTAGACCTTATGTCTTGGGTTTATGACATCCTATCTTTTGTATTGGAGATTTTATTCTGCGCCTGGAAGTAACAATTACTCATAATAAAATATTGACGATAGCATATTGCAGGATTCCGTGGTTTTGCGTTCGGTCAATGTATTGCTGTACCCTTTAAACATTACTGGAAGTTAAAATATTGAGGCTCTGTTTGAGAACTGAGGGTTTATGAGAGAGTGGAATAACAAGTCATGGGTTGTTCTGTTGTTTGAGAGATTAATCAGGAAAGCTAGGAGAAATGGTGTATGCATTATTTTTCTAATATTGTCTTGTAAGTTTGTGGTACTTGTGTCACCTATTCACTTCGTTGTCACCTTGACCCCAATTCAGAGGCACTCAAACATTGTGGTTTTGGATGGTAGGGAACGGTTTTACAGGTCATCCCTTGTCATTCCACTCCATTATTAGAAAAACTCCTAGACAATGACCCAATTCACTTTAAATGATTCATTCCATCCCTTGCGATTCATTCCATGACACTTCTTCTGGGAATCTAAGTAGTTCTTCTCACTGAGGCTAACATGTCAAGCGCGGAATCCCCTATGCTATGTCATGTTCAGAATTTGGGCAGCTGCTATGTTATAAGATACCATACATACTCGTAGACTTCAAAATCACTAAATAATTAGATGTCATTGTGTTGCAGGTGGCAAATGAAGCAGGAAGCACAATCCCTACTGTTCTTTTTTTTAAAAAAATAATAAATTTGGAGAAAGCGCGAATGTTATTATGAGGACCTTCTTATTGAAATTTGACGCATAACATACATAAAGTCTGGATGAACCTCCCGATCATTTATAACTAGAATATATATATATATATATATATATATATATTTTATCCTCATTTCTGAAATAAAGTGCTTGACCTGGTCTCTGAACTCTGTAGGCTCTAACTGATTGGTTGATCTCTGCACCTTTTGCTTTATAACAGGTGTGGACATAAGTATGAATACACATTTAAAGACAGTCAAATTGACATTGAAGGGGAAAAACCCAGTGACTCTGGATCATCTCAGTGTAAGGGGAAACAATATCCGTTATTACGTACTTCCTGATAGCTTGAATCTTGAGACTTTACTGGTTGAGGAGACACCTAGGGTGAAACCCAAGAAGCCAACTGCTGGTACTGTACATTATTTTGTCACAACATATTTAATGCAGACACTTGCTAATGAGTATGCTTATCGTAGCTGGTATCAATATGTTATGGTTTTCAATTATCTGTTTTGTTTCCAGGGAAGCCCTTGGGACGTGGGTGTGGTCGAGGCCGTGGTCGTGGTCGTGGTCGTGGACGTGGCCGTTGAATTGCATATTTAGTCTTTATGGCTTGCATTTGTAAACCTATGTTATAGCTAGAATTTGTAGGGAGTATCAGGGATATCAAAGCAGTGTTAATGCTAATTCCTCATGTTGAGTTTGTCGATTTTTCTATTTTTTACGGTAAAGAGGGGGGTTCCTATTTTCTTCGGAGTGCTTTCAGTGTTATAGTGGATAATTCCTTGCCGTTGACCAGCAATTGTTGAGTAAATGGGGAGGCTTCTGTTAAGACTCGAGAGTAAGAGGAGGGGGTTGCCAATGCAATGCGCTGGCTATGTTGCCAAGAGAGTAATTGAGATGCTAGCAAAACGCTAGGTAAACTGTCTGCAGTTTGGAGATACGTTAACCATTTTGAACGACTGCCCTTGCTCTGAGTGGTGTCATTTTGCATTTTCTGTGCAACTGTAGTTGAGTTTCTAATGAATGGTAACAGTCGGTGTGCCCTTGCTAAGGAAGGCTTCTCGAGGTGTTCCATTTTAGATTCTTGTTTGGTGCAGTTGCAGGCTTCGGCTTTGGATGCGCGTTTGGGGTTTTGTGAGTGGAAGGTGAATGAGGCGACACGACGGGAATAAAATAGGAAAAATTGCTTTGAAATTTTAAGAAAAGAATATAATTAGTAAAAAATCTCAGTAACACCAGAGCAGATTGCAGATTGTGATGATATAGAAAATGACAAAATATTCAATTGTTATTGGAACTTATTGGGAGTTATTTCCTTTCTTTAGGGTTTTATTATATTTGTCCCAATAAAATAAGAGGAGCAGCATGTGTGTGTTGCTGCTCATGACCAAACAACGGACAGACGGACTCTTTCCACCTGCATGTTCATTCATGTTCGAACAGGTTTGCATGTGGCCTCCGTAATTATTTAAATTGTTCGTGTCATCATTTCCTTTTGTGTTTCCTGGTTGTCTTATGCTACGCTATATTGCAAAACCACCAACACATGGATACTATCATTATACTCTTTGATTGTTTGTAATGGATAGGCGTCTCCTATGTCACGTTTATATAGGATATGCTTTCTCCTAACCCCCTAGAAACACTTTTTTTTTTTTTGGTTGGATGGTTTGGTTCGTCATAAATATGATTGCAATCACAGTTAGTGACAGCTAGAGAGCAACCTCCGCCTTCCCACTCTCTCCCGTGCTCTGCATTTTCTCTCATTTTTGACTGTTTATCTTTTCATGAATGCGTTGTTCTCCATTCTCCCACTTCTTCAGGCCTCAGCGTCTTTGTTTTGTTTTGTTTCTTTTCTTGAGAGTGATGATTTAGCTATAAAACTATTTAAAAGAAACAATTCCCATGCTCATCTCAACTTGATTGAGGGCAATCAAGCTAATGCTGCTTTTAATTAATTCGTCCACTCGTCCGATTGAACGCCAAATTTTGCTACTGAATGGCAAATACTCCTGTCGTTGTCAATGGGACCATGCCACTACGGTGTTGGTGAGCAGTGTCGAGTCGTGCAGGCATCATCTTAGAAGGAACACCAGGCTGGGCTAGACCAATATAAATAGGGGATTAAATCGAGCTCAAAAATTTATTTATTTATTAATTAAAAGCATGACATGCTCCACACAAAATATATTTTCTTAAAAGCATTAGCTATTTATAAAATATAGTAATATTCTTAAAATTCATGTATAACGTACTTTTTTTTAAACCAGAAATGTATAATGTACTTTACACTAAACTAAAGGGGCTCTATATTTATTTGAGAGAAGAATAACAATGATTGGTGGGCAATAAAAATGTGGACTCATGAGAAGTCACGACCTTTTGATACGTGGAGGGAGATGAATGCGGATCAGCTGTCATGCTATGGGTTCCAAGAACTTCAGCAGTTGCTTCCCCGACATGGACCATGCGAATAAATGAATAATAAATAAGCAGTAATTAGCTAATTCAACATTTTAATTTGCCAACCAAGCACGTAATTACGGAAATCTGGCTTTTATTCCTTTCCCACAATAGTCACTGCCATCAATTAACTTGGGCCCTCCTACTTGTAGCGTTATTGTCTATATTTGACCCTCTTTTCAAAAAGAGTACATACAGGGGGCCATCTTCTTATCATAAAAATCATCACTCTTTTGCCACAAAACAATAATAAATTATTTAATTTTCGATCTAATCTTCGTTTTCCCACTCTTTTTTTTTTTTTTTTGGGTTGGCCGCTGCGGCTCAGGGTCAGGGGTCCATCCCCGCTTTATTTATTCCCAAAATAAAATTAAAATACTTGTTTTTTCCCTATCACCATTATCACACGATCGGAATGCAGAATGCTGGAAGGCTGGAACCTCCCTTGCTTTCCCAAACCTAAACCTGCAACCATCATAATGGTTTTGTTCCTCTTCATCTCACCAGTTCTTCATTTCTTAGTTAACTTCTTGTTTTCCGTCCCCTGCTTGATGCCGAACTCCAAGCCCATGTAGCACAGTGCCTCTCTGCCCTTAACGCCTCCGTCTTCCTGCACTTCACTTCTTTATTCCTCTTTCCATCTGTCTCTGAAGCCTCGAAATCCCCCGCCTTTTGTACCCTTCGCCAACCCACCCATGAATGTGAGCAAGAGTGCAGCTTCGGAGGACTCGGGGGACGCTATGACCCGCGTGGACTTGTTCAAAAAATTTAAGCTCTGCAACACTCTCGAACCTTCTTTGGGCGTAGTTGGCTTCTTCTTGATCGTTGTTCTCCTCGTTAGCTGCTTCTTTTACCTTGACTACGGTGCTGCAATAAGGGGGCTACGCTCTCGGGGAGTTCCTTTGCTGGGACTGCATTTTTCGTCCTCATTTTCACCTTCACCTTTGGTTGGGGGTGCGCGGGTTGAATTTCTGGGTGAAGAGGGAGATGGGTGTGATGTATTTGATGGCAATTGGATTTGGGATGAGAGCTATCCACTATATCATTCCACAAATTGTTCATTCTTGGATCAAGGTTTCGCTGCTCTGAGAATGGTAGGCCCGATAGCTTCTACACGAAGTGGCGCTGGCAGCCCAAAACTTGCAACTTGCCCAGGTTTCTCTATATTCTTACTTTCAGATTCCGATTCCGGTTACTGAGGAAATGACGACAGATAATATTGTAAAATTTAGTATTTTCTTGTTCCCTACGTGTTTGGCTACTGGTGTTCTCCTGAAAACGAACTACGGAGAATTTTGATTTAGCTAAGTGGTTACAGCATTACAATTAACGAGGTTTCCGCTCATTTTTGTTTTGCCTTGAAATATAAACTACTCCTGCTTCAATGCTGAAATATAAACTACTCCTGTTTTCAATGCATTACGTGATCGACCATTTGATTCTGAAGTTTAGAGAATTGATAGTAAGAAAACAGCAGGGTTATGATCCAGACCTCAAGGAAAGGCACGGCAAATTTACACCCACACCATCAAGTAAAAGAAAGCTTTTCGTTCTTTTATTGATACTCAACTTGTCTTTGTCAACCCTCGGCTGTTTGGGCAATTCCATGTTTTCTTCAGTGGATCAGTCGAACTCAATCGTTGATTGCTCCGCAATGCTTGGAGTTCTGTATATTTTGCCATTTTGTTAGTTCCTGTTCGCAAACGTAAAGTCTGCTTCGTTACTATTTATTCTGCTGGATTGTGCTGTAAGCAGCTGCATCATCTGATATAGACATGCATCTGTTGCACCTTTTAGGTTGTGCTATGAAAGGCCTTCATCTGTTGCACCTTTTAGCTTATGCTATGAAAGGCCTTCACTCTCCGCATTTTTGTTCATGATTTTAATTTTTTATGTCTAGAGTCTTTGAAGTGGATCCATGGCCTTTAATCAAGGTTAATAATAGAAATGTGGCAATCAAGAAACCTTAGTTTATAAACTGAAGTTTGATTTTTAAACATTTTTAAGTACTTCTGAAGTTTTGGTTTGTTTTTGGATTACAATCTTAATGGGATTTCTCTTCACTCTTATTAAAGGTTTGATGCAAGGAAGATGTTAGAAAAGCTGCGGGACAAGCGGCTTGTATTTGTTGGTGATTCAATTGGAAGGAACCAGTGGGAATCACTCCTTTGTATGCTCTCTTCTGTTGTTTCGAACAAGAACACCGTGTATGAGGTTAATGGCAGTCCAATCACAAAACACACTGGCTTCTTGGCATTCAAGTTTGAAGATTTAATTGCACTGTGGAGTACTACAGATCTCCGTTTCTTATAGTGCAGGGACGGGCTCCAACTGGAGCTCCTAAAGAGGTAAAAATGACTCTAAGAGTTGACCTAATGGACTGGACTTCTCCCAGGTGGCGAGGTGCAGATATATTGGTTCTTAATGCTGGACATTGGTGGAATAACGAGAAAACTACTAAAATGTAAGTAAGTTCCCGTCTGCTTAGGTTTTTAGATGAGATGGCTTACTTGTCTCACTAATTCAATCTTCAAAGCGCCCCCTTGTCATGTCTCTTACAAGGATATGGAAAAGTTTGCAAGAATAATTTGATGCCCGATTTGGTTAGCTGTCTAATCTTTAGGATTGATTTATGTTTTTAGGGGTTGTTACTTCCAAGTAGGGAAGGAAGTGATCATGAATATGACTGTAGAGGATGCATTCAGAAAATCAATGGAGACAGTATTGGACTGGATTGGCGGTGAAGTAAACATGAACAAGACTTACGTTCTTTTCCGAACTTATGCTCCTGTGCATTTCAGGTTTGCCTAAACTTAGGTCGTTCATTTCATGCATGCTGATTATTATATTTTTAGATGCTTGATATTTTCTAACCATAGGTCTTCTAATCGGGTTCTGAGCTACAATCCCCATTGCGCCATAAATACAAATTAACATTATAGCCAAGTCTAGACAATTGTGCATTTTGGACATAGAGGAGAAACATATGTAATTTTGTAACTAATAGTTATAAAATATCTGTTGCACCATTGCCTTTTCGAAGGTCAGGGTGCTCTAGTATTAATGAATCACGTATTATGAATTAGTTTGGAAAAAAATGAAGGCATCCTTCTTTTAGTAGCCTGTTGCTGCGACTCCACGGCTTTTGTGTCATGTTTCCTTGTATAACATATTCCATATTGTTCCTTTCAAGTTAACTTGTGACTGATTTCCTCGTTTCTTGGAAATCATTATTCATTAAGGAAATGACTTTATAAGCTAAGTCACTCGTATCTGTATCTGCTAGTGGCTCTGGCGATTATTAACACCAATAAAAAACATAATGACTGAATTCTA